CATCTTTTATCAGACTTTCCAAAACTTTTCACACAACTGATGTAAGACTAATAGGCCTATAAATACTGGGACAACTTTTATTACCTCCCTTGAAAAGAAGAGTGACATTAGCTAACTTCCAATCCTTTGGCACATACCCACTATTTAAGAATTTATAATAAAAAGAAAAACTAGTAGAAAGTGGTTCACATATTCAGTTCTTAACCTCCTTCAAAACCCCTGGAGAAATATCTGGATTAGGAGCTTTATTGTTCTTTAAATTTCCTAAAAATGTTTCTTAACAATCAGATAATTAATGCAGTTATCTTTTTCGACCTTTTTTCCATCTATCAACTGTTCAAGATGAGGAATACTGTTTGAATCTTCATTAGTAAAAACTGATAAAAGCAGAAGATAATAACCCAGCCATCTCGTAATCATCAGATACAAATCTTCCTTTATCATCCCTCATAGGCCCTACCCCATCCTAACATTTTAAAAGAAATCTTTACTATTAATTCTTACATATTCAGCCAACCTTTTGTCATACATCCTTTTTGATGTCCTAATTTCTTGTTTTACCAACTTTCTTGATCTTCTGTAATCTTATAAATCTCCTATCATACCAGTCAATTTAAATTTCTTAAATTTATTATGCTTTTCTTTAATTTTATCTCTTATACCCTTTGAGAAACAACCTGGTTTTTTACTTGCAGCCACCCTTCTATTTCTATAAGGAGTACGTTTATCTTGAATATTTAAAAATTTTCCACATTTGATCAATAACTCAGCTGCCCAATTCACAACAGATAATTCTTGTTGCATCCCTTCAAAATATGTTTTTTTTATATTTGAAACCCACTAAAAGTCTTTTCCCTTTATATCTGCTAATAGAAACCCAAATAGATTGAACCTCCATGCTATTATCTTTGATATACTCAATTTCAACATGATGTAACTCATATTTTACTTATAAAGCCACCCCTCCCCCTCTCTTCAGTACTCTATCCCTATTAAATAACCTGTAACCCTGTATTTCAAAGAAATTTCTGTCATAATTTAACCGCGTTTCAGTTATTCCCATTATATCAAAATTCTCCTTTCCTACCAGTGCCCTAAAGTCATCTATTTTATTTCTTACACTTTTAGATTACAATAGTCAAAATTAAGTCTATTCTTATAACTACTTCTATACTTAGTTCCTATGCTAAACTTTTCTCTACCTTTTTTTTTGCAGTTTATCCTAACCTTCACCACTGTTTAAGTGTAGTCTTCACTACTAGCTTCCTTAAAAATACATACCAGTTCCGAGTTCTCAAATAAAATCTGCTCATTGCACCCATCACACTTAACAAACTGTGAACACTTTACTCCTATACTAGTCTTAATAATTGTATTTGTAGCTTGGTAATAAATACTAAATACCAGTAACTTATTGTCAACACTGTTGAGCCTAATGTTTTATAATAAAATAAATTTGATTTTTATCACTTGTTATGGTCTCTTGTTGTCCATATGTTAGGAGGCTTCTCCACAAGGCTGTTCATAATGCTTTTAACAAACTGTTATAGGATTTAATATAGCTTCAAATATCAAAATTTCAAAGAGTATAGGGCCTCACCTGGGTCTTGTATGGGCAGATATAAACAACGTAGAATTTTTTTAAAACTATTTAAAAAAGGAGAGGGGGGATAATTAATGTCACTTAACTCCATATATTGAGGCATAAGTACAGCATGGATGAGTGATAAATGGGTAGTTATAATACTGTTTTAAAATTCTTTTTGTGTGAATTAGTTTCAGTTCATAAAATTTTGTTGTCATATAGGTCTACACTTTACTAATACAAGTAATAAATGTTGGATTATAATTGAAAACTTTTACAATATATTTTTGTTTTGTTTGTGAACTGTATGAATAGTATTCGTACATATTATTGGTTATGTAGCATTAAATTTTATCAGGAATCACCCGCTCATTAGATTGCTGGTAAGATAAATTTTCTGTGCTGTTTTTATCCTCATTACGGTCTTGTATATGGGATACAGTAATCTTGCTCTTAAATTCAAAATTCCTATAAATTTGAATCCAGGACTATTTGCTCCTTTTACTACAGCTACATGTAAACATTCAGTAGAGGGATCTTTTCCACATGTGTATAACTTTATTTTCTTAATATGAAAGTTCTACTACATTCTCATTCAATTCACAAACACTGTTTAAGTCATTTTGAATAATGAAAAAAACATTCTAAATGTATTAACAATGAGTTTAGAAATATTACTATCCAACAAACTCTCTATATTACTAATGCCACAAGTCAAATTTTGAATAATTTCCAAATATGCTCACTTTCAAAGAACTTTTTATCACTAAGCCATTAACTAGTTTTGCTAATAGTCTTATAAGCATCCTGTGTACCAATTAATCTCTCTATGAGGCACCTATTCAAGGGCTTCCTTAAAGGCAGGGTAAACATCAATCAGCATGCCCTCATCCTCTCCCCCAAAAAAAAAGTAGAGGTTCTACCAAAAATCTCAAACAAATTTGAAGGTAAAAAAACACTTTTGTAAAACTTTGCTGATTATCATTAATTGTCAATTTTCTGAATGTTTTTCTAATGTCAACAAAAGTCCAACTAATGACTTACAGCTCCTTGGATCCTCCCTAGACCCAGAACTTACCATGCTATAAACTAAAGTGATTTTGCTGTCTGTCATTTTTTAAAAATTGGTCATGTTCAGCGAGGGTCTTGAAGGTTTTGTGGCCTGCACTAATATCTTTAGAGGTACTAGACAATGATTTTTATTCTGTGCTTTCTTTGAAGGCAAGGAATCTTCTGCGAGTCACATCTCATCAGATTTTTTTGCGTTTCTGTGTCCTTAGTGGCCCGGTAGAATTTCCCGCTGAAGGCCATGATGTAGATTAGTATGTGAATCTCCTCCGATACCTTTTTCTCACTTTATTTGCATGATCTGGCAGTCTCTTCATCTATGGGTTTTATGCCTACCCCCTGTAGCTATCTTCATTTCTGCTAGACTATCCAGAGAGTGAGTATTTTTATTTCTAACTTTCAGGGCCCCTTACCTTGTTTTCAGACGATCCCAAGTGTTGCCCAGACAGGTGTGCTTTTATCAAACGAATTCTGCACTAGCAACCACTAATTGAATATACTTTCTAAAGGTTGCAACAGGCTCTGTAGAAATGAGGTGTCCCATAAGACCACCTAGGAACTGACCAGGTGGTATTACTGTTCTATGATGGACCACCACTCATGGACTATCATGAGTAAAGCATAAAGGGATCTTGCCTGGGATTAGTGAAATATGCTTCGTTGTCCCATTTTTACAAAACAAATTTTGCAACATTAGTGCTTGGGAATTTCCTAAGTATCTATTGTTATTTCCTCAGTTTTTTGTTGTTTTTTTACTATTGAGAAAAGTACAATTACTAAAGGTCAAATATAATGAAGCCTTGTAGATACATGTCAACATCAAAGTATCGAAAGTTTTGTTTTTAATGTAGGTAAAGCTCGCCGTTTAAAACAAGCAAAGGAGGAAGCGCAAGCTGAAATTGATAAGTTCAGACATGAGAAAGAAAGACAGTTCAAAGAATATGAAGCTTCAGTGAGTAAACTAGTGAAAAAAACTTATTATTTTGTAACAATAACTTGTAAACAGTTTGATAGAAATTTTTATTTTAAAAATTTAAATTCCCATGCTCATTTTTCTTTTGACTTAAAGCTAATATGTAATTCACAATGTGCTAATTATATTAAGATAATGGACTGCTACAAATGTTTCTTTAATTCAGAAAAAGATGGTTCATTTTAAAAAGTAAAAAAAGAACTAGAAAGTGTTTAATTGTATAGAAAAGTAAAGTGATGTGGAAGTTTGGAAATATATTTAACTTATGCTGACTTGCTGAGTGAGAGTAACACACATGATTTAGATCATGTTATTTTTTAAAGCTTGAAATGTTTCTTATGGTGAAAAAAAAATCTTATAGATGTAGATGTTGTATATTTAAAAAAAATAGTTTAAGATGAAGAAGGATATTTTTTCTTAACATTTGTTTTCTAGATATGTTAGAATACTGTATTCGGTTTTGTTTCTCATTTTACAAGAGTGATATTTGTATGGTGTAAATGTGTATAGATAACTTGCTGTGCTTGAATAACAACTGGTTTTAGAAATTTTAAATTGTAAAGAAAGATTCTGTAAAATATAAATTTGAAAGAAATTTGGATAAACTGCTCAAAAGGTACCTGAATAGTGAGCTATAGGGAACTAGGTATCAGAAGGATAAACACAAGCTTTAGATGGTGGATGTACAGACTTAGGTATCAGAAGTGATAAATACAAGTTTTAGATGGTGAGATATAGGGGACTTAGGTATCAGAAGTGAT